ATGTTATGTCAATTCCAAGAATGTTTAAGGTTATATAGATGTGTATAAGAGACAGTCCTAAGGGGTTTCATCCTAAGTTTCATGGACTAGGAAAAAAGTAACATTCTCACTGGTAACTGATAGCATTTAAGGGTATTTATCTGTAAAGTAAGGAAGCATAGTGAACACACAAACAATTAAAACACACTTTTACCTAGGCCTATTTTGAATTGTTTCTTTCTATTTTTTTTTTTTTTGTTTTTTTGTTCAATTCAATTCATTCACATAATGCACAGGCCTACTAACTATTAGGCCTAGAAAGAATAGCAATGATACAAAATAAAAAGAGAATATAGGCCTACTACTAGCCTAGCTAGGCTGGGGCCTAGTCTAGCTAGCCTACTAGGGTCTATAAATAGGCCTAGCCTGGGGCCCTACCCTACCTAGCTAGGCCTACTCCTCTAGTAGTCTATAATATTAACAAAAAATTACTTTATTTTAAAGGCCGAACTAGGGCCTACATTCGGTAAATAATACAATTCACTTACACAACTGATAGAATACGTAAGTTGCCTTCAGCAACTGGGTCTTTCCTTTTCACATTTCTTCCGGAATTCGTTATCTCGCTTCGTAGGCTAGCAGGAATACTGAGTGCGCTACTACTTCGGGGTGTTGAGGACATTTCACTGGCGGAGGTAGTGCGGTTGCGAGCTACCCCGGCTCCTGTAACTCCTGCAAGTGCAAGCATTTTCCTGCGATAGGATGACCGTAAATTCGATTAAATGTAAATAAAATTGCAATTGGTCGCTCTGAACTTTTGCATACGTAGCCGGTGATGCATAAGAATGCTCAAATGACATAAACGTGAGAAACGTCAAATTCCTTTACCTTGACAACAGACGCTTTGCAAGCATAAACCCTCCGCAACAACAACCTTTGGCTGGAGGAAAGTGATATAAGCGCCCTCTATCATTAAGCCTATGTCAATCAAGGTGTCTCTCTTCTTCGGACACACCTTGATTTTAATAACAAGCTCACCTTCTGAGTTTTTTTTTTTTTTTTTTTTTTCTTTTGGTTGTACTTTTCTTTTTATCATTGTATTTTATATCAATGCTTTTTGTCTTTTTTTAAAATTGTTGATGATGATGAATAAATAAATAAATAAAAATAAAAAAAAAATGTACCGATCATCAATAAACTTAAAAAAAAGAAGAATTGTATCCTGCGTCAGGGCCCCCCTCGGGGAGAAAAAGCATAATTCGTCGGGGAGAAAAAAAAATTATGCGTATTTTCTACATATTAGTAGACTCTAAAATCCCCTGGACCCCTTTCGAAGCCTTTTATCGAAGCTCGACCACGCCCACTTTGCTTTCGTCGGGGAAATCTAACCCTTCGTCGTGGGCGTCGGCCTCCCTCCACCCCGTCGGAGATCTCGGCCCCCTCGTCGGGCAAATCCTGGCGCCACCCCTGTGCCATAATCATAAACTTTCTTACCTCAGCCCCAACCATAGTGAGGTTGTGGTGCTCTACACTCTCCATCTGTAAAAATCCCTCTCTGGGCCCAGCTCTATTTCAAATTACTGGATCCGCCACTGGACTGGATAGCCTTTTTTGAAAATTTCGTATGGAAATAAATGTTAATTACATTACTTCAAATCAATTAAAAGGCTATAGGCGCCAGAGCTTCCAAGGGCTTCGCCCCCTGGTCCCCAACCAAGGCTTGGGCCTACTGCCCAAAGGCTTTTCTTTTTCATTTCGTTCCCGTCCCCCCCCCCCCACTTTCAACTACGGATCGACGCCCTTCATAGGCGTAGATCCCGCGGGGGGATGGGGGATATATCCCCCAATATTTAACAAGGGGGATGGTCCATTGTATCATCCCCCCAATATTTTGACTATGTATGGGATAAAATGGAGTTTTACACACTTAAAGACTGTCACAGAAATAATGCGCTTACAAAGATGAAAATTAGCATAATGTATTAATGTTGATTAACAAAATTATTTTATCTGGTACCAATCTAAGCTCTTCTTTCCTTAGATGTTAGATGTGCTTGCAAAGAGAGCCACATTTCACACTCAAGGGTGTGTACAACATAAGTAATGTTATGTCAATTCCAAGAATGTTTAAGGTTATATCGGTTGATGAGGAATTTATTGATTAGGCCTATAATAGCAGATTGCATCAATTTATTTTGCAAAAACAAGAATTCCAGGTTCAGGAGGGGAGCACATCCCTGTCCGCACAAGGGCACACATTGGCGCCAAAACCAGGCGCGTAACAGGGGTCTTGGGTCAGAGTGGGTACGGTATTTATTTTCCCGGTTAGTAATTTACCATACCCACCCCACACCCCACTCCTCATATATAAAACAATACGACATAGTGCTTATCTTATAATATAGGCCACACACGTGTTTGAAACTAAATATAAGCATTTTCATCATGGTTTTATTTATTACAAACATATCATTTCACCATCAATAAATATTGAGGCCCTTCTTTTAGGTTAAAACGATCTATCTTAAATTTGTCTTTTTGAGTTTGGGACTATTATTAGGCCTATGTGTTTAAATAAATTAAAAGGATAAACCTAAAAAAGGCCCTAAAAAATATTTTTGTGTTTTTAATTCTAATTTCGTCGGAATTGATGAAAACTCCCTAAAATGTGCAATTTATAGAGGAAATTGGCCTACCGTAACAAGAAATACGAGCAAAGATTTTGAGAATTTTAGGCACTTTCAGAGGATGCATTTGTCAAGGGGTGGGGAAAGATTTTCCAAAGATGGATATTTTTCCCTTGTCCCCCAGTGTTTTTAATTCTAATTTTGTTGGAATTGTTCAGAACTCCCTAAAATGTGCAATTTTAAGAGGAAATTGGCCCATGCCAACAAGAAATGCGAAATGAGGTTTTTAGGCACTTTCAGGGGATGAAAAGGGCATTTATAAAGGGGTGGGGAAGATTTCTCAAAGATAGATGTTTTCCCCTTGTCCCCCAGTGGTTAAGCCATCAGGCAGCATAGATCAAAGGAGTTATGACAGTTGGTTGCAGGGTGTTGTGAGTATGGTCATTATGATATCTTCCTTTTTATTCTTGTCTTTATTTTTCTCTACTCTTTCTTTTTTTCTTCATTCTCTTTCCCTCCCTCTCCCCTCTTTCTTTTCTCTTATTACCCAGCCCGGTACGACGGCTTGGTCAGCCTGGTAAAAACCATCAGGGGAG